GAGCGCACGATCTCCTGCAGGAGCTTGGCGTGGACGTGGAGGTGCATGCTCCACAGCTTCCGGGTGTTGAGCGCCACGGCGACGTCCTGCGCCGCAATCGCCTGGGCCGCAAAAGAATGGCGGAGGTCACCGGGCGACCCGCATCGACGGCCAGGGGGGAACACGCGGGAAATCGGCAAGGTCCCTCAAGAGCTTCAATCCGCACAAACTGCACTGCGGACGCAGCTCTCAGAAATCCTTTAATAGCGAGTTTCCGCACACCCCGGTAATTTTAACGACACTGTACGGGGGGGGGGCGGGAAGCCTGTCTAACTAAAGTAATGAACATCATCCTCAACAGCCTGTATATTCTATGACACAAGTAAGTTGGATTTTTTGCCCTCTCTCTGTCACAGATAAATTCTAATCAAATGTTTTAAAAAAAACAGGCATGAAGACGGTCAGGTAGAACAGCTCCTGCAAGAGAAATATTTGAGCGCATGAAATCAAAAGGAGGACTACAGGACGTACTCTGCTTGTGTCGTGACTGCACATTCCAACACCCCACACGTATTTATGATGTTGCCAAACCCGATCTGCTCTTCCTTTCGCAAAACACGAGTCCGCGGCGCCTAGGCGAGACAAGCCGGGCGAGGACGACCTAGAGGAGTGGGCGTTACCTGTGTGGTCTGCATGGGCAGCGGCAGGGGCAGCAGCTCCGACAGCAGAGCGAGACCCGAGAAGAACCCCTCGGGAGCCTTCAGGACAGAAGAGAGCACCTCCTTCAGCATCAGCGACCAGGTGTTGTTGGCCAGCGTCTCCTCCGTGTCCGTGGCCTGCTCATTGACCCCCTGCGTGAAGGTGAGCAGGATGGCGATGATGTCGCTCTGTATTTTCTGCTCCTCGGGGTCCAGGCGGCCCGAGACGGGCACGGAGCAGAGGATCATGTGCAGCGCGACCAGCGTGGAGGGCACGCGCGTGTCCTTGAACTCGAAGGAGCCGCCCCGCAGCAGCTCCGTCAGCATGCACTTGAGCAGCCGGAGGGTGCTGCAGGCCACCGAGACGATCATGACGCGCTGCAGGCTGGTGCCCATGTTGCCATGGAGACGCCAGGGCTGCAGCAGGATGCAGCTCAGCTTCTGCAGGACCTTGATGAAGGTGTCCATCCCCTCGGCAGAGAACAGCTGAATGACCGCGAGGTTCCACTTCAGGTCCTTCTGTTGACCTTCGAAAACAGACAAGAGAGGCAAAGTGGTGCTGACTGACAAACCTTGTTTTATGTCAGGTGTCATTTTGATGCTACCATCATTTCCCTTAAAAAAACACGTATACATATCAATTTAAGTTGGCCAATTCATTTTCACACTCTCTGTCGAATTTTGAAAACCACTGTGTAGACCGGGACTTCACCTCGAGTGCTGATACACAGGGTTTCACAAGGTTCGTCATAATTCACAAAGTTCTCAAAAGCGTACGTGAAGAGGACTTTAATACACAATCTCTACTGCATCTTTCTCCCACCACAGTTTGTTTCTCAACTGTTAGTTAGCAGGGGTGCCGTTGCGTGCATCACTGCGACGGGGATTTGTATCGACAAGTTCACAAGTGCACAACTGCGCACTGTACTTGAATTTAATTTCAAGCAAAGAAGCAAAGCCGTGAGCTCTGGTGTCTCACCTTCAACGGCAGGGGGAGGGCAGGCAATATGACACAGAATGCGGAGAGCTGTCATGACCCCGGCCCCTTCCTGAGTTATCAGGTTCTCCAGGTTCTAGGAGAGAAGAAAATCAACTTTAACTTCTCATCGTACGACTGTGGATATTCTTCCGCATGATAAAAAGGACAGTTAGAACAAATCGAGGTAACCTCTCAGCTGCAAAGAATGCTAATAAATAACTGTTCCTCTACAAAACACCTTAAAAGTGCTTATGTTGAAACTGCTCTTATTTTGTTTTCCCGTGACTAGAGTCTCAGTGAGGGGGAGAAAATGTTTTTATGTTTTACTTTTAGGGGTGGGGAGAAATAATGTTCACAACCGTTTTCCTTGATTTGCTGTTAAAAAAAAACCCACAAGATATTTTTTTCTTTTGCTTCAAAATTCTGAATTTGTAGAAAAATATTTCAAAACCCTATTTCATTCCCCGCTCGTGTGTTTCTGAGCCTGATATGGTGTTGCCTAAAACATTTACTGAGTTTGTATCAAACTTATCAGTGGAGATGAGAACACTAAAATAAAGAATTCAGCCCTTCAAAAAAAGCAGCTGGCGTATTCTATACTATTTTACATCCAATACATAAAAATGATTAGTGTCCGTGAAAATATGCACATCTTGAGGGTTTGCTGCCAGAGGCCGTTGTCTCATGTGAAACGATGAAATTTGGATCATGATACCTGCGCCAGGATTTCCACTCTTACCTGCAGCAACATGCATCTAGCTTGCTGACTGCAGGGCACAATGAGATATTTCTTTTGTGTATTTACCTCAATCAGACCAGTGTAGAGATATACTACACTGTGTAGTAGTGAAAGACCCAACACATCATGCTCTGAGAGAGCTGAGCTAAGAAAAGATTTCCATTATCACAGTCATTCCTTCATCGAAGGAACTGATTAAGACAATGAAACAGGTCAAAATCAAAAAACTTTCACTGACCTGTTTAATATATTCAATTAGACTCGGAATGCAGTTTATTTCAAATCGCAGTTTCTCCAAAGGTTCAAGCCACTTGCTGAGTTCTGAAAAGCAAAATAACCACGGAAAAAATTCAGAAATAAAATTCAGCACTACCCTAGTGCCTCATTTATCTAAGTCTTATTTAGATTTCTCCCTTTTTATCTTTTTTATTTTGTTCTAGACAGGTGTTTATTTTACATTTTAAGTAGCTCGACCTCTGTTTTGAAAATGTTCACTTAAGACATCACAATACTTTCATTTTCACAGCCTGCTCATCATGATTGCCTCTTCCCAATCTATCCCATACGATCCTGAGAGAAGACATTTGCGGACCATACCCTGCAGTTTGGCGTTATTCTCGTCAGCCTTGCACACTTTGAGCAGCGATGCAGCGTAGTGCTCCAGCATTCGCACATCACTGGACGACTGCACGACCAGCAAAACCAGCATACAGGCGTAGTTGTAGGTCACAGTCTTCCTTGCTTTCGAATCCCTAACATTTCAATGGAAAAAAAAACAGGTGATGCCACATTGAGGAGCTCCTGTTAACCCCTGAGGCGATTTTAAAGATCATGATGACCAAGATGAGAGGAGCAGGAGCCATGAAGCACTATTATCAAGTAATAAAACTCTGCCACTCACTGAGACTACACCTGGAAGGTTAATTAACCTCAAACCAGCGTGTAATCTCCGATGATCCTCAAAATGTGAATAACTTTGCCGTAAAAAGCTTCTGAAAAAGCACGAACATTTGCTAAGCACAAAGAAAGAGAACTGACAATGCAATTCCAGGGAAAGAACAGCACACTGCCTTTTAGTGAGCTGATTAACAGCACAGACTACTAGTAATACAGTACTGTGCCTTGGTACTGGCTTTTTCCGTGCCACTGTAACAGGATTTGCCTTCTTCTCCTGAACGCATTCAATATCCCAGATGAGTAGAAACCAAAGATTTTGTACTTGTGCTTTTCTGAGGCACGAAGATGCCACCTATCAGCAGTGTAGCTAAGGAAAAGACCGAATGTGTTCCAACTGCCACCTGATTCCTCACTGCTAATAGAAACAAAGGAGCTGTACCCTAAGCCTTCTTTGGAATAGTGTTCCATCAGCGTCACAAGGCAGGAGAAGTTCTGGTCCAGGCTAAAGATGTGGGACACAGCGGAGCGGCCCGTGGAGCTGAAGGAGATGAGGTAGAGGCTGTGCAGGGTCCCAAGGACCCCTGGGATGTCCCCTTCCTCCAGGCCCCCCTCCCCAGCGAAGTGGTTGAACAGCTCCGCCACGCACTGCAGAGCGTGCAGGGCGTGCATCAGCCAGAGAGCGAAGCTGTCCTCGGCAGGGCCGTCTGCGGGGGCGCCCTCCTCGGGCTCCTGCTCCAGGATCTGAGTCAGGACCCTTGCCAGCAGGTTGGTGGCATCGTGTTCGGCCATGAGGAAGAGCAGGCCTCTCTGAGTCTGTGCCAGGAAGCGCAGCAGGTCCTTCACAGCCTGCAGCACTCCGGGGTGGGCGCTGGCCGCTGGGTTGGACAGGACCACTGTAAGAGACTCCAGGAAGTGTCGGCTGTGCATGTACCTGCGGGAGGGATCAGAGCACGTGAAGACCCTGCATTCAGAGCACATGCACTCGGCCAAGAGCAGATTCAAAATTTAAATACTGCTGGTGTTACACCTTTTCCCCTTTTCATTATTTGTAGTGTGATTCACAAAACATCTACTTTAAAATAATAATAATTGCTTACACTTATGTACCACTTGCCTGGACACTCCACTCAAAGCACCTTACAGGTAACTGGGACTCTCCTCCACCACCACTTTGCAGCCCCACCTGGATGATGTGCCAGCAACCAAATTGCACCAGTACACCCCTCACACACCAGCTATCAGTGGGTAGGATGAAGTCAATTCATAGATGAGTATAATTAGGAGGCCATGAGTGGTAAAGGCCATGAGTGGGAAATTTGGCCAGGATGCTGGGGTAACACCCCTACTCTTTTTGAACAACATCCTGGGATTTTTAATCACCACAGAGAGTCAGGACTACAGTTTTACATCTCATCCGAAGGACGGCACCTTTTACAGTATAGTGTCCCCATCACTATCCTGGGGCATTAGGACCCACACAAACTGCAGGGTGAGCACCCCCTACTGGTCCCACTAACACCTCTTCCAGCAGCAACCTTAGTTTTTCCCAGGAGGTCTCTCCTATCTAGGTCCTGGCCAGCCTCACACCTGCTGAGCTGCTATTTGTGAGTTGTAGGGTGATATGGCTGCTGGCGACATCTATATATTCAATATATATCCTGCTGATGAAAAGAAGAGCACAAATCATGCATGCAAGCTCTCACCTAAAGAGAACAGGATAGGGATCATCTCTCTCAAGAGGCCCTGTTATGCGTGCTGTGGTGGGGAAAGACTTGATAGGGGGCTGGATCATAGTGTGGGGCGCTGTTTCCAAGAGATGCAACAGCTCATCAAGCATGCTGATGAGCTTTTCCAAGTCTCCTTCAGTAATGTTAGAAGAAGCCAGGAGGTGATCCATGTCCATGGGGCTCTCAGGTTCACCCTCCTCCTCCTTGGTGGACTTCTCTTGCCCAGAGTCCGGGTCGGGCTCGCATTCACTAGGGCCTGGTGCAGAGGGAAGTTTCTCCGCCCACGCACTTGCAGTCTTCTGCAGATCCAACAGAATCTCATAGAAGTGGGCCTTCTGGATGATGGCAGTGCCAGCTGTCACCACTCGGACGGTCTGGTCTAACAGGATCAGCTCCACCAGCTTCGGATAGCCGCTCTTGTCCTGGCCTTCCAGCGTGCTGCTCAAGAACGCTTCCATCCCTTCAGAGACACTGATGAGGCTGTCCAAGGACTTCAACGTGTTGAGCTTCAAGGAGGAGGACACGTGCTCCGCAAACAAAAGCTCAAAGAGTCTGCTGATGATTTTGCCTTCGAGGAGAGCCAGCACTGCTTGGGTCCCACATTCCACAAGAGAAGAGGCCAGTTTGCTTCCTGCCTTCAGCTGCCTGACATTAAAAGCTATCGGCTGCGCAAGAGCGGACTGCAGACACAAGGCGTGCCCCGTCCACTCTACCAGCTGCTTAAGGTGGTTGTGCTCTGAGTCTTTCACATGCAGGTAACTCAGGCCCTTCACTAACAGACCTGGCACTTCCTCCAAAGCCATAACCCACTTGGAACTTCTGTCTTCCCTGTACGTTTCCAGAAGCTCAACGAGTTTGGCCGAAGACTCTGCAGCCACCAGCAGATCTTCCTGCAAATCAGAGTCCTTCATTTTGCTCACTTCTGTCTCAAACTTAGTCCTGTAAGGAGGGCTGAAAAACAGCAGGGGGCGGATCTCCCTCTCATAGAGGTCATACTGCATACTGGGCACTGCAGCCAGGTCCTCATCTGTATAGTTGATGTCAAAGCTTGGGAGCTTGAAAGTCCCATTCTCCAGGTCTTCCTCATCACTAGAAATCTGCTCATAGCCATCATCGCCTATTAAAGGTTCAAACAAGACAACACAGAAGAGAGAAGCAATGGGTTTCAAGAACACAATCTTTTTACTGGAGCATACTTTCAAACTTAAAAAACTCCTGATGTAAAAAAAGTCCTCACTGTATCAAATCTTCACATAAATAGTTATACGATTTTGTGACCATTTACAAACGGTTTTGTAAGAGTTTCTGTTTGACTCATTTCACAGTGCTTGTTAACCTACCGCTGGAGGTTACTAAATGTATTGCGTCGTGCACCAATTCGGAGAAATAAAAATGCAAAGGTCGGTTCTTTTTAATGTCTACGGTTATACAGCTGGTTCGCAACATCTGCAAATTTAGATTCTTGATTCGGTCTGGCCAACGGGGTCTTGTATGGGAGAAGAGCAGAGAGGAACGAAACCAAGTTAAGAGCAACTTTCAAATTAGGGGCGCAATGACAAATCTAGCTGGTGAGTGAGCCCCAGTATCCGCATCTCAGCGTTGGCTTGTTTTATACCATGACGCTCGGCTCATGATATGGCAGTGAGGGGAATGATGGGCTGGAGAGGACTTTACGGGCTCGATGATCAGTTTTATTGCCTGTTTCGTGACAGTGGGGTATGCCAGCCAAGGAGGCAGAGCGAGAAAGTCAAAGCTGGACGTAGCAGAGGAATTTGATCTGTTTATTTTAAAC